TGCAGCGATGAGCAGCGGAAGCGAGGAGGCACCAGAGTGGCTACATTTTGTGGCAGGCGACGCTTGATGCCCATCGTGTCTGTGTGTGTGTGAGTAGACAGCACACTCAACTACACCCATAAATATGAATGGGGGGCACATATAGTCGCCTCTGTCTGCCTCTCTCGGACCGGCATGTTATTTACAGCCAGTTTTGAGATCTTGTGGCATAATTTAAGCACCTTGTTTAGCCACTGTTTATGGTTTTGTCATGTCACTGGACCAGCTTGTCTACTATAAATGTTGAATGTGTGTGAAAGCACTTTTGAGGTCACGAGGTCAATGATACACATTCGTACATCACCTCAAACACACACACACAGACACACCATCACACATATGCACAGGCGGGTAACAGAAGACGAGGCAGAGGCAGAGCTCAGCAGCAAGCGGTGAAACTTTAAATAATTTATAAGTGCAGCAAATGAAAAACTTAGCGATAAAGTTGCGGCCTGGCATTCAAATGGATTTGCCTCTTACTTTTGTTTAACTTGTACCACATGCCACCCCTTTGGGCACCACAGACGGCACATTGCCACACAGCAGCAGTCCTTACGCCAATCAACAAGCAAATCAACGCAAAAAGCGTCACAACAAGAATGAAAATCCTTTCGTTTTTTTCTCTTTTTTTTTTGCTTCTTAAACGATTTGGCTGCTGTCAGCATAAAACTCTTCGGCGGAGCAAAAATACAACGTATGGAATTGGAAAATAAAAACCGCAGCATTTTTATTTCAGGACTGTGCTAAAGTGCGTATGGTTGTGGGTGTGTGGGTGTTGACTACCTCGCATTATGCAAACAAGACAGACTCGTTCTCCAATCCCAAGGCTGCAACCTTTCATCCCACCCAGTCGTAGGGTTTGACGTTGGAGATTTGCAAAGCTTTGGCGGCAGACGGCATCAGGACAGGTGAGAGGCGTTAGCGTCATGTTCGAATTTTGGCGTTTCTGCATTCAAAGTGGTTTACGGAAGAGTGAAAATTATAAATTCAAATGTCAAGTTGTGCATTATGTAACCAATTTAACTGGCTTGTGAATAATTTTGGGTAAATTTATTCAATAATATTTTAAGTAAGAAATATAATCACAGACAACACAATAGTCAAGTGACTTCGAAAATTTAATTAAATTTTCCATTTTTCTTAACAAAAATAAATACATAGTATACCGATAAGCATAATTTGTGTGCCTCAGTTTAATTGAGTTGAGTTATGGTGCTTTGAAAGGCATTAAATTCGCTAGCAAGCATATCGTATCGAATATCCGCAACTCGCACCGCTCATACGCCGCGTAAGCCATTAAATATGCATTTACTGATATCACCAAAGCCGTAACGAAAACAGCTTACGTAGCATTTGCGTGTCCCTAGCGTGTGTGCGTGTCCGTGTATTATTCTCAGCGAGTTACCAAAAAAACATACAAAGACAATGCATATGCGAAACGAGGCGAAAGACCAAAAACAAAAACAAGTAAGAGTTCTGCAGTCGAGTGAGCTCGACTTCGATTTACCCTGAACCCAGGTGTTAAATATATTCTAAAACTATTCACAAAATTCCCTATAATAAGTTTTGAGCAGGTCTGCAAGTGCACTCATTCCTTATAGTAAGCTCAGATTGCGGCTGCTGATGGAAATGAGATCAATATGATAATATATCTTCGACAATAGCTTGGGTATGTTTTATCCGATCTTGATCAAATTTGGACAGTTGATCAATAATATTCATATGCATATTATATATTAACTAGAAGATTCTGTCTTTAAAATTGTAGCTTTTATTGTTATCGGACATTTTAATTGATCGATAATAGGTGAAACGGAGGCAGTTATCGATAAAATAAAGCAAACTTGATCTGCGCCTGGTATACGAGAACCTATGTTCCAAATTTGAAGTATCTAGCTCTTATAATCTCTGAGATCTGCGTGTTTTCTGCAGATGTACGGACGGAAAGACGGGCACGGCTCTATTGACTCGACTGTTGACCCTGATCAAGAATATATATACTTTATGGGGTCGGAGATGCTTCCTTCTGCCGGTTACATACATTTGCCCAAAACCATTATACCCTTTTTACCCATTTTTAATGGGTTCAGGGTATAAAAAAACAATAGAATTTAAATGATTTTAATGCGTACATTGGATTTTATTGAATCCAGCGAGGGTGTCTGGAGTTTTGTTATGAGCACATGGTAATCATATGAATACCAAGCCAGCTGCCTACTGCCTACTGCCTGCTGCCTGTACCTGTTTGCCAGCCAGATGCCATCTGGCATCTGTGTGATGCCTACTGCTGCTGCCCGCTTCCTCGGCTTTTCATTCGCACTGAGCAATAATAATAATTGTCAATTGCAGCAGCTGTCGCCTAAAGTCGCGTAACGCTTTTTTCATATTCAATTTCGAATGAAATTTTCATGTCGCCGTCGCTCCAAACACAAACACAAAAACAAAAACTGTACCTTTGTTAAATTCATTCGCAGTTTCGCATGCAAAATCTTTTGCATACTCTTCGCGAAAGGCTGCTGCAGAAACATCTGCTGGTTTTTCTGATATTATACTTTTTCTAATTTTTCAAAACCTCAACTGCTGTGCGTGAGGAGGTCTTTGTGTGTGTGTGTGTGTGTGTGTGTGTTTTTGCGATTAGCTTGCAGCGTGGAGTTATGTGCGGTTTTTCTGGCACTCTGTTTTCACTGAGCTCAGCTATTTTTGTATTAACTTGAGCTGCTTTGTGCAGCTCTACTGGCATTTTCCGATGAGCTTGTCGGCATACGTTAAGTACAAAATTTTCATTGAAAATTGCCAGAGGTTGCCTGCTGTGGCTGTCCACTGTTTGGCTGTTGTAGTGACCAAGCTGATGGTCAGCATCAGTAGGGCTGCACTTGGTTAGTGTTTATGGACATCGTAGGTGCTTGCTTAGAATTGGGTCACTTAAAATATAATATATATATATATAATATTTGTATAATAATAAATAGGTCAACAAAAATATATTAATTTCTTCAAATTAGATTCCAAAACTAAACTAATATAACCACAAATTTAAGCAGTCAATGCGGCCGACAATTTGAATTCCATATATTCTCCATTGAAATCGCCTAATTTAACTTGCTTTGCTTGCCATATGGGAGTTTGAACTAAAACAGAAGCTTTGCATTGAAATGCAAATGATTTAAATGCACAGCAATACAAAGTGACCCACTACAGATGAAACGACAACTCCAACTCCATGTCGAGTGCCAGAAACTCTAGAGACAACACGCATAATAGGCACATAACAACATTATCATTAGCAGCCGACGGTAGCACATTAAATTGCAATTGTTGTTGGTTTGTTGAACATTCTGTTGTTGTGGTCGTCATTGTAGTTACTGTGCAGCAGAATTCTAATTGATTCTCTTCTCTCAAGCTCTTAGAGCGTATACGTGCTGGAGCCTACAGCTGGGCAACTGGCAACAGGGCAACTGGGCAACTGGGGCACAGTGGATTTGATTTGCAAATGAGTCAGTCACATTAAACGAGTGCTGCAACAAAAGCGAACTTTAAAGCCTTTAAGCCTTTCAGTTACCTGTCAAGTAGTTTTACATAATGTGTTTGGCAGCAAATTTCATTTTGATGAAGCCCATGTATGTGTGTGTCATCCAGCGTTAGACTGGCTAAAAGCCTCCAGCTGAGTGGCCAGCTCCCGCATTCCTTCTGCCACATATCCATACCCGACCCCAGGTACCAAGTCATTAGCATATGTTGTTGGAGTTCCAACAGAATGGTAAACAAGCCGAAAGACAGGAAGACACCGCCACACACCTACAAACAAATTCATGTATATATATATATATATATATATATATATATGTGTGTGTATAGCGCACCACTGGCACCACAGGCGGCCGTTTTGGTTGGGCTCAGCTGACAGGCGAGCTGTCAAAGCGGACTTTAGAGCACTCGCTGCCTGGCAAACAAAACATGCAAAAACAAACACCATAAGACACACATTTTGACGCTGCAAAACCGATTGGTGTGTACCCTAAATTAAACCTTTGTCCCTAAGGCATACACATTAACTTGGGGCACCAATTCTCGTATTATCGAAATTATATTTTAAGCAAGTCAGAAAAGAAAAGCCTTACACCTATCTAAGCAAGGTGATCTATATCATATATATAATGTTATCTATACATGCATTGTAGATTATATTCAAATTCAGCTCTTCAACTGTTGTGAGTATTCAGTTTATGGTTGAGAAAAAGTTGTTTTACTATTCAGTAGTAATCAATTATTTCAATTTGCTGAAGTTTATTATAATGGTACATTATTTCATTTAATATTATTCATTTAAGTGATTTGTATTTGTCGCAAAGTGACAAACTCTATTAAATAATAATGATACTTTACATGTTGCAATGATGACAACTACAACGACACACACCAGTCGTGAGTTGAGTGTTGGGCAAAAGGGTTCAAGTACGTGTCTCGCTTGCTGTTTTGTTAGTGTTGGTGTTGGTGTTGTTGATGTTGCTGTTAGTGTCACTGCTGTTGGTTTGGCCTTGGCCAAAATGCATTGTCGCATTGGTTGTTGTTGCTGTTGATGCTGTTGTACCTGCTCTTGATGTTGCTGTTTTGTGGTTACATTTTTGACAAGTGCGTGCTCGACGAGAGGACGAGCCGACCTTATGTAATATACTTAAACACACGTTGTACTCATACACACACACATACACACACACACAAACACACACACATACCCACACTCCTCCTGGGCATATTCATGCTGATGCAAGTAGTTGAAAGCAAGTTTTCATATTTAATTTTCATTACGCAGATCGCGAAATTGCAGCCACTTGAAACCCAAATTCACCACAATTTCTGGTTGCTGCCAGAACCCTTGCGAAAGTCTATTATTTTTGATTTAGTCTATTTTATATTAAAAGTGGACTTATTTTCGTTTAGACGATGATTTTTAAATCATTATTTAATACAAAAATTATATTTTATTGTAATAAACATCGAAAATGTCGTTACCAACTAAACTCGATACAACGGACTGTAAGTATTGTTCTGTAACAATCTATTACCAACCTAAATCTCTTCAATCGATAAGTCAATGGCAAAACAAGAGCAGAACGGCGTGGCTCGCAGAAGAAGAATAACAGGTCGAAACGCTCCACGGGTTCGCTGACCAAAAAGCCAAAAACTGGAGCCGGTCTGCCGGTGCCGAAGCATATAACACAACGGGTATTCCTCTATATGCAGCTAAAGAACATTTCAAACTTGCCGGTTGCATCATATCCGCTGGAGCTGCACCTGCACCATGCGAAGAACACGCTACAGAGGATGTCGGAGCACTACACCACAGAGACGGTGATCTATCAGAATGAGTTCGAAATGGAGAAGCCAGCATTTGCGCTGGGCATCATTCAGGACAATATCGATGAAATTAACACGTTCAGTGATAATCCACTGGTCGTCACACTATATCAGCGCATCCCACGCCATCGTAAGGGTCAACTCGTCAAAGTGGCCAAACTAAAATCAGAGGCGTCAAGTTTTCAAATGGGTGCAGAGAAAAAGGCTAAGGCAATTCTGGATGGCAATACATCCACTGGGCCAGACATCTCAGCTGCCGATGATTATATGGGCGAGAATGAGGAGGATGAGGACTTTATTGATGAAAGTGTAGAGTTTCTATCTCGAGGTCATTGTGATTTGCTGCAACTTTTCCAAACAAAACGCTTCATGAGCAGCATACCGATTATGTTGTATCCGGAGTACGATCACACGCTGGAGACGGCCACCAGCCAAAAGAGTTCGCCCACCAGCGAATGGCACATGTACTCCATACTGCCCATACTCAAGAAGTTGCACTTTACCAATCTGGTCTTTATCACGCTCGAGTCCATTTACAATGCCACCGGGGAGCTGCATGAGCGCGCTGACCATCTGGGCATGAGTCTTTCCATACGCGCCACAAGGCCGAATCTAAATTTAGACTATCAAGTGCTGCCCCTGTGCACTTTCTACCGCTTTGGCTCCAAAGTCATCAACGAACAGAATCGCATCATTGTCTGGGAGAATATCAAGCGAGACTTGCTTGGCAGGGAGCCACTTGGCATCGCCAACATTCAAATGGAAACCAATTTGCGCATCCAGGTGAATCAGCTGTTCCGTCGCCTGCTGAAGACGCCGATCGTCGATTTCAAGTTGGATGAAATTGATCCTTTGGTAGACAAGGCTCTGATCAATAACTCGCTGCATCGATACGTTCTTACCGCCGAATTGCGTCACATACTCGAGGCTGCAGTGGTGCACAATGATTATGAGCTCCTTCTTCAACTCTACGATGAAATTCCAACTAATGTTTTGTACGAGGGCATTATTAATCCAAGCGTCTTTGGCTATCCCGATGGTAAGCTATTAATTGTATATCGAAAGGCTCAAAATGATGCTAGTAAAGATTTAAATTTTCGCAATTTTGTCGAGTTTCCACAATTACTTTAAAATACATTTGCATATACTGCTCAGTAAACGGGTGCCGCTTTGCCAGTGTGCTCTCATCCGTGAACAGAAAGACAAGGAAGTCTTTCAGATTGTCGGACTTATCTCCTCCACCGGATAAGCCGATGTTTGCCATTCTGAATCTGTGTTTCTTTCAACCGCTGACACAGCGCAACGAGTCGCTGGATGCCTACAACGAGAATCATTTAAAGGTCTCCACTTTGCGTCGCTGCAGGACGATGGATATGCTGAACGAGCAAGTCAACTCCTGCGACATTCCAAGGGAACTGTATCGTAACTTTGATGAGTTCATTAAGGGGGTGATTAGTTTCATCATTAAGAATGATGTAAGCACCATTGAGAGTAAGCGAAATTACTTCTGCTGCAATTTGGGCAACCTCCGAAATCTGCTGATTAACATCTGTGGCTGCGATTTCAATATACGCATGCCGACCAAGACCAATATTGAGTTTCGGGTAGGTATCTATGTGGTGGGACTTTGGATACCCAAACGTGACGGTTTCCTCATTTCTAGGAGATGCTCACACACATGCACAAGGAGCTGATGGAGCGTATTGAGGGCCTGCTGATGGACTGCAGTTGGGATGGACTCAGCCAGTGTGTTCTTCACCACGACAATGATCAGGAGCGCATCAGACTTCTCTTTGAAGAGTATCGCAAAATGTGTATTATTGGCGACTGTGTCCAGGCCAAGCATCTGTTCGCCAATATCAAGGCTGACTGCACAAATAAAATGTTACTCAATTTTTATACTTTTCTCAATGCCGTCGAGAGTCTAAATTTTGAACAGGCCTCTAATTACTTGCTAAATCAGAGTGAGAGGAATTGGCAGGCCGAATACTTTGTGTGTGTATGGGTGTTAGCAAAAGCCATAGAAATATATTTATATATTATCTCCTCACAGGTCTCTTTTAAAACTTTATATTGACTACATGATGCAATTGAAAACGGAGGAGTTGCCAGGCGTCGCATATAGCAATATGATTGAACAGCTGCGTAATTTCAGCAGCAACAACAATTTAGAACGTGAAACTTGGATTCTATTGTATTGTTTGTATAAGAATAATAACTACTTGCCCGGAATGGAGTTTACACGCTGGAGGTACGAGAATCTGTACGATGTACCGGGCAAAACAATGCCACTGATTCCCCGCTCAATGTTCGAAACTTTTCTGCCGCAGGACTTCGACCTAATCGACAAAAGCATTGAAACCGTTAAGTTTTATGCTACTTTCAAGATGTTTGCACAGCTGGGCGCCCACAAATTTGCAGAGATAGTATTCGATGAAATATCTCCTAAATTCTCTTTAGTTGAATCGTATTTGATTAAGACCATATTAAAGATGTTGCAGGGTGAAATTGGTGAGAGTTTTAAAGTGCGCAAATTTCCCACAGGCAACAGCGTTCGCGAAAAAATGATGGTGAGTAGAATAATAGTCCTTGAGTTTCTTTTTCTTGTAATTTGGATAGAATTAATCCTCTGATGGCAGCGATACTATCAAGCTCATGTCAATGGCAGCGTGGAATACTCTCGTCGTCGCTACGATGACGCCATCAGGTACTTTAAAGATCTGATGAGCATAGGTATTACCGATACAGTAGCCCTAGCCATTTTCCACACAAGCCTTATGCGACTGGGTCGCTTGAGTTTCGAAAGTGGCGATTACGAGCTGTCTAAACGGGCCTTTGAATTGTGTGTACCCTCTGCCAAAAGTGAGGTGAATTTTTTGTCTAATTATGGCATGGGCTTAGCACTGTACTATGTAAGTACTATGAAGGTGAACCTTTCTAAATATTATTTGCAATATCTAAGTTTCAGCTGAACAGGCTTGAGGAGGCCATTGAATATCTGGCTCGCAGCACAGAAGTTAATACATTTCTTCCCGATCCCTGGGGATACTTAGCCACAATTAATTTGCGATTGGGTCGCAATAAGACTGCTTTGAACTGTTGGAAAATAGCCAAAATGGTAGGTTTTTAAAATATATATTTTTTTGAATAACCAATAGAATTTAAGCTTGTAACTTAAACATTCACAGCATCCAGAAATACCTCTGAACAATCGCATCTATATTGAGCTTGAAAAGATCAAATATTCCAATGTCAGCTTATTGGTGGAAGATGATTGCAAGCTAAAATAAAAATATATAATATTATTAAGAGTTTTGTGTAACGTTTCAATTATAGAATTCAGAATAAATATGTATGTACAAATTATATGAGTTTACGGGACAGTCTGTCCCTGTCAGATGCTGATGCTAAGATAACGCTTACGACGCTTAACGATTCGCTTTTCTCGTAACTCATTTTATAATTTATTCAAAAGTATATACAAACATATGTATAATGTTAGGACAAGCGGCAATATGACTTTTATATGGACGGCAGTTCGGAAAAGGTTGATGAGTACTCTCAGATGTGTATATGTTTGCACTGAAAGGCTTATTTGGCAAATGTTTTATGTATTTGGATAGCAGCGCGGCGGGATTTCAAACAGTAAACACTTCAACAAGTTGACTCATCTGGGTAAGCAAAGTCGTTGTGAAGACCATGTTTGCCTTCTTAGCATGTTCGTGCGTGTGTTTGTGTATGTATTTTTTTCTTTAAGTCGCATACGTTATATAAGACACGGCAGTAAACTTCAGTACAGTATTCAAATGGATGCTTTACATTTTGAAAAGATGTCCATATTTAATATTTTATGCAGTCTTAAAAATGAAGTCAACTAAATGCTTACGACAGCCACTGCTTGAAAGTCAACTTGCTGCAAGAATCTTCCACAGCTGTGGTTAATTTCAGTTCCCGCGAAAGTGCTCAAATCGCAAGTTGCATGTTTAAACAACAACAAAATTCAAATATTTAAAAGCAATTTTAAACAACATTCTGCTGGTAATTAAATCCAGCCGACTTTTGAATAGGCCAAGGCACAAAACTCAATTTATTCGATTTAATTTTTGTCCTTTTCGTTTGGCGTTGGTGGAGACGGTCAAAGTAGAAGCGATGCATTTTGTAAAATTAAACTTCCAGCAAAGTTTGCCCATAAATATGTGGTCACGTTAAAATACAGTCAGTATGCAGAAAAAAAGCGAGAAAAAATAAAGAAAGAAAATAAAATAAAATTAATTTACGTAAAATGCACAAAACTTCATCCGTGGGGGGTCAGTAACATCGACCGCTGCCTCAACGGCTCTATGAAACAAGTCAGAACATTGCTAAAATTGGATGATCACTAAAGTAAGGTACCCTGTTATTCAAATAAAAACAGCTGAAAATATAATTATCTTAAGAATTCGCTCGTTGTTCAAATAAAATATTGTTATCAAAACCAAATTTTTATTCTGCAAGAGACATTCTAAAACAGTTTACGATATATACATTTGATCTGCAGGCAGATACAAACATGAAGATAAGTCTAACAAACGAAATGTCCGAAGGTCAATGCCATTAGTCGTATTTTATGTAGTTTGAGCAAAAATAATGTTAAAGATTGTTATACAATACAACATCATTAAAGATAATTGAAACTGAGATGAATACGTTTGCGACGTTTCTGCGACCTTAATATGCTCTTTTATCCTTTTGGGAATCGAAGTATAAATATTGTAAATTTATATGCCGCATAGTAAAAGGACTGCAAGTGAAAGTGTGCCACGGCTGCGGCGCCATCCGGTCAGGAGGACCAAGTACTGTTCCAGTGTGTTATTTTTGGCATCCATTTATGTGTAACGCTCTCCAGAGTTTGCTCCCAGGAAAATTCGTTTAAAATTATTATTATTTTTATTATGTGGGTCAGCAGCATTGAAAACTTTTGGCTGCCTTAAGTAAGATGCAACGCATTTATTGGCGCTATTTTACATTCACCATAAGCCATAAGTGTCAAAGGCACAAAATCTGGCATTTGCCACACCCACAGCCACACGCAGCACACAAACTTACTTAAAATGCAACGTTCACAACTTTAATACAGCTTAATCCTTCTGTGGTCTGTATGTGTGTGTGTGTGTGTATTGTAACTTACGAATTATGGCGTTAATACCATTGTGTGCTTATGAACAAGGCAGCGTAGCTCTTGTGGGTGGGTATGTGTGCTTCTGTGTGAGCTCTTGTTACTTTAGTAAGTTGACTTTAGGGATCATCATTAGAGAAAATAGCGTATGTGCAGCGCATCGTCCTTTGCGCTTTGAGCCTCTTATGTTAAACACTTGGCTACATCAGGAATTACAATGCTGTAAAAAATCACAATTTTAAATTAATATATAGTTTTCAATTATCTGATGTTTTTACTTAATACACTTGCAATCATTATTGAAATAAATATTTATAATCATTTCATGTTATTATATTATCCAAAAAAATGAAGTATAAAAATGGCTTAGTTTGTTGAATTATTGAATATCTTTATTTGTGATTCATTTAAACTGACGAGCAACACAATGAAAATTGTGCAGAATGGACAGTGAAATATTAAACCACTCTGGCAATAATCTTATCAAAACGTTACGACGACTCTTTACATAAAATACAAACGGTAACGGAGCTTGGTGCAGACAGGAAATAATTAGAAAAATCAGTAGACAAGGAACCGCAGTGAGTTCCACTAGACAGATACACAGCATGCCGTGGAATCAGTGGCAGTGGCAGATAGATACAGATATACGTTAGCATCCCGTACTGGTCTTACTCATGCGAAAGGTACATACACGTACACGGCCCGATTGTGGAATACTAAAACCGGAATTCGCAAAATGTCACGTATGACATTCGTTGGCAAGTAAGACTGAAATTTACCACTAAATGACGCTCTAGCTTGCAACCCAGCTAAGGTGTAGCGCGGGGCAGACAAGTTAGATGAAATTATGGTGAAGTTTGCTGCAAGCAGAGCCAAAAGGAATATATGTGTAGACAGAGAGCATCAAGTGCAAATGATTGCCTAAGCGAGCTGAGAAAGTTCGGCCAGCAAAATACTCTATGTTCACTTGCAGAAATTTTAAATTTAGTATCTATCTTTCATAAGGAATTTCTGCTAGCGAAGTTTACTTATGGGCAGACCCATAGGGTTGTTCATTCGGCCCGTTACAGATATTGGCTTATGTTCAAATACATTATTTAATCCATACAAATGCACAGCAGGAGTAACATTTTCAAGAAATTCCAAAGCAATATAAACTATTGAACTATTGTTCTTACAAATATGTAGTTATACTCGGGCATCCAAATACTCTCAAATTTACGATTGGTTTGCATACAACAAATTTATAACTAGTCTATAGTATAACTAGACAAAAGCATAAGGGCTGCTTGGGTCTGTGGATGTGATCATGGTGTATCCAGGCCAGGAATTGGCATTGTAGCTTAATGCGCCATAATTGAAGCGTTGCGGAGTTTGATTTGCAATTGCCGCTTGCCCATTGTAAACGCCCATGTTATTGGTCATGCTACCGAATGGCCAGCAGCTGCTGTGCAACTGCCGCAGCTGCTGCAAATGCTGAGTCTGCAATTCTTGCTGTTGCATTAGTTGTTGCAGTAACTGTTGCAGTTGCTGTTGCAGTCGATGTTGCTTTTGCAGTTGCTGTTCCATTATCGGCGACTGCGATTTCTTCTGAGACCGAGACAGCTGTTCCGAAGAGTGTTGCTTTGCCTGCTGTCGCTTGGTAGTCGACTTTCCACAGGACTTCAGGGGTGTGGCTGGCAAGGATTTGTATCGTTGCTGGTCAGGTGCAGGTGACTGCATGGGTACCCCATCAACTAGAACCGGATACTTCTTGCCCTTAAAGACGAGGCAGTGGTTCTTGCTGTAGTTGATAGCTATGCCGTCAGCTGCGGCTTGACTAAAGAACTGATTTTGACAACAACTATGGTTTTTAGACATGACAATTTAGTAATGTTTTCCAATTGATTTCGCATCCAAATGTTCAACAACTGGGAGATATTTTTTAATCGTAAAAGCAAAGTAACAAAATAATATGCCAAATTCAATTAAAGTGCCCTTTGCATGTTTCAAGTTGACAAATGGTTGGCGTAAATAAAGCGAATCAAAGGCAAGGAAATGATTATACTCACCACCCACATACAATTCCATTATGCTTAAATTTACACACAGAGTACAAGTACTCATTAATTTGTAGTATGCAGCATGTAAAATTGTCAAGAGCTTCTGTCAGCCAGAGACAGACAGGCCCTTTGTTTAGCAAAATCCTTATCAGCACGTACACTCGAAGGCTCTGAAGCATTGATTGCAATATGTGTAGCAAACAGCTCAGCGCTTAGGCCTTTTAATTAAAATATTGCTAAGCTCAAGATGGCAGTAGGAGCCAGACGTTCAGTTGGTTGTATCAAATTTGTAATGAAGTTCACATGCGGATGGGGTGACTGAATAAGGGAAGGCCAGAATATTGTATGACATGAACTTAAGCTTTCTCAATTAAATAAAAGAAAGAAATATGAACAACTTCGTGTGAATTTTAAAGTATAAAATTATTATCGTAAATAATTTATCTTTTTATAATACACCATGTAAAATTCTTAAGTTTTCTTGTGCTAACGAAAAACATGATTTTAGTTGACATTGATTTTAGTTTGTTAGTATTCAAATTAAATTAACAAAATTAAATTGACAAAATGTGCATAATGCTTCATCCAATGGAATTTGCTAAAAGCAGACATATAAAAAGCCCCACTCCAGCAAATTCTGAAACTAAAGAATATTATTTATGAAGATAATGTAATAAGTCCTTTAACATTGGTCCAACAGATAATCTGCAACGAGAGATAGTTCGACTAACGGTTTCATATATATATGTCGAAGAAATGTATTTAAAAAAACGGTTAACTTAATATGTATAAAATTTCAGTTTCCTGTTCATAATGGAGCAGCAGGTCTGGAATTTTTCTTTTGAATTAAATCATTTGAATATTTCTTCCTTTAGTTAATTGTAAATTTTGGAACGCGCAGGTTCGCTTTTTATTGTCAAATTCCAGGGGAATCAAATAAAACTTCAGAATAAAACTTACTGTAATACAAAAATATTTTCGGCATAACAATTATTTTAAAAATCTGGTGCTATTTGGTCAACCTATCCCTCCGCAGATTGTAAGTATTTAATAAATAAATAATCGAAATAAAAGGCATTTGTTAGCTGCCGCAATCAATTGCAGAACGGTGAATCTTTTAACAAGAAAACATGTTTATGGATGATGAAGGTCAACCCTTTAATCCGTTTAGCGTTGGTCCGTCCGTAAATAACAAGCCCTATGAGTATGAGATACCAAGCAGTCCGACATATCCGCCACCTGTATTCGCTACTTGGCCGCCGCCAAAGGAGCTTGCCAACAGATCGATTTCGCAAGGAACGTTGACCAAGAAGGAGGCATCTGAAATGAAGCTTGTCAGATCTCAAAGAGGCGAAGTTGCCCTCTCGAAAGCCATAAATGAAGAGATGGCCGCTGCAAAGCAACTGGCAGCAGATGAGCGGCGCATTTATGCGGGTCGCGAGCCCAAAGCCCATTTGTCAGAGGCTCGGTGTAGGGACAACAAGTCACACGATTCAGTGACTACATTATTGCCCGTCAGGGATCACCGATCGAAATCAAGCTTAATGTCCCAAGTGGATGGCGTTTCAACTGCCGCTTCCAGGAAGAGTGTTCATTCTGCTGTCGGCCCTAAAATGGCCTCCAATATCAGCGTGCATTCACTTGCCAGTGCGCAGCGCATGGAATCCAATATCACGCTGAAGCAGACCAAAGGAACCACAGACACAACTAAAAGCGGGCACACAGAGGCAGACCATGTCTCAAGAGCAGGCGCAGGAGCCCACCAGGTGAACAGATACTCTCGGGCCTCATTGAAATCTCAGACGGTGGCGCAACAGGAGGACAATGTATCCCGGGCGAGTGTTCATCAGGCCAATAAGGCATCGATTAAGTCGGAGTCAAGTGACCTGCAGGCAAATAAAACTTCTCGCATATCTATCAAGTCCATAGACAGTGCCAATCAAGCAGACAAAATTTCACGCATTTCGATAAGGTCACAAACAGGAGATAATGTGCCGCGCACAAATATTAAGAAGAATAATGCCGTAGAATCGATGAAAAGAGCATCGCTGAAGGAGTTAGCCGAATCAGTTAAAAAGGAACTAGAACTCTCGATGCAGACAACCAAATCGCTGGCCGAGAAGGCGGCACTTCTAAGCGATCGCCTGAAGGCTGGCAATGAGTTCAAACACAACCGTTTCAATTCCCTGGATCGCGGCATGTATACAACTACTGAACCTCTGAAGAGATGCCGAGAAGATCGCATGGCTTTTTGGTTTAAGGACGCCGTTATTTCATAAACATCGCTGATGCTCAACGAACTGACTACATTTTTCATTTGAAACATTTCAGTTTTAACTAAGAAAGCAAACAAATGCAATTTACCATGACCAAATACATTTACCCTACTCTTTCGAATACACAAAAAAAATATTCAACATGATTTGCGGTTGAACATTTTGCTGACATTTTGTATCATTAATTTAAATGTGCTACATTTTGTGGTCGGTTGCGGATTGGCCAGCGCATTGGGCACAGCGTGTTGGCTTATAAAATATGCAAAAACATTTGTTTAATTTGTACCGAAACTCACTAAAAATCAGCAAAAAGACAAGTGTAGGGTCAGCAAATGTGTGATATGCCAACGGAACTTGTCGAATGTAAAAACACTTCTCAACTATCTATTGTGGAGTGTATGCCAGAGATCATCAGATAATAGTCGGTTAAATTTGCTATCAATGTTAGTTTAGAATATTCAAAGGTTTTTCTACAAGTTATGCTCAGCAAAGTTAGTTAAGTTCTTCCCTTGATATAGTGTAGTAGTACACTACACTACTTTTAAAATTAATTATTAGCTTTAAATATTTTACATAGAAATACATGTTTGTAGCTTTAAAAAAAAAAATGCGTAGCTTTTATTAAACTTCCATAACTCTTTGGAAGTGAGGGTATATGAAAAATAATTGCAGAGCTTTTGACGGGGAAAACTTTAGCTAACCGGGGCAACATTGTTGACCATGTTGTTTGGAACGTTGTGGTTAATTTTATTTATGGCAGCGCAACATGCTAATTGCAGCAACAACAAATTGGCGGCTGGTTGCCTAATCAGGGTCAGGTTGGCGGACTCGCTTCAGTGGATAGTATGCGAGTTATTAGAACGCAACATTGCGCTGGGGAGTGGCAATTATAACAAATTGCATGTCAATTTGAAAGCCATTGCGCCAACTCCCTTCACTCCGCAGTCCCTCGTAAGTATGCCACATTAAATAAGTGGAGGCCTCAAAGTATACAGATGTTTGTAGTATACATATATACATACATCTCATATATTTATATGCAAATGCAAACATTTTTGTGCTTACTAGTGGTACAATAAAGGAAACAACTGCAATAATGGCAACGGGCGCATAAAGTACCAGAAATAAAAGCAACTGTGCAAAAGTGTAAAAACCAGCAACAATACAACCAACAACAACAACAAAGTCATCGAAATGAAACAATCGCAGCGCGCGGCATGCAACAGAACAGAGAAAAATATATTTAATACGAAAAGTTTTGCAATAACGGAAATGAAATGGAAATGGACGCGCGCCAATAGACATAAATGTGTGCGAGGTGCCGCAGCCGACAGGATACAAATAGGACACGGTAGTAGCCAAGCACCATCAACAATAACAACACCAAAAATATCTCAATGCATTCCCTGTAAAACAAAAGGCCCTCCGAATACAAACAACAAGCAAACTCGAAAGTAAAAACTAACAACAATATCCGGCAAAAACGATTGCACAAAATCAAAGTGGCAGCATCCCAACTACTGCATAGGATTGGGCACGATTGGGCACCAACAATATTTAAAATTCAAAATATGCAATGCTGCTTTAATACCAATATATTAGTTTAGTGTTTATAAAAAATAACTTGAGTTTTATGAAACCTGTCATTCAATTAAAAGAAAAAAACAAAAGTTAAAAAGAAATCCAACACGTCAAATAACAATATTTAAATGGACTTTCCATAAAATTGTCAACTCGAGATGCTGTTCTGTCAATTTATTAACTAAAAGAATAAGAAAAGGGAAAATATTAAGTTGATTTACATATTGAGTGAGGTTTAGTAAATGTGATAGTCCCCTGCTTTGACTACAATTGACTGGAACCACAACTATAAATTGATTAAACCAACTAAAATATCATAAAGTTCGGGTGCCCATTCAATTGTGGGATAATCAGGCGTACACTAATTAATAGCTGCAGCACGACAAGTGTGCATATATGTGTGGGTGGGTGTGTGTGTGTGTTTATTTAGGAGTGTGCTCAAAACCAATATATATATTGTACACTTACCGGTCATGCACAATTAAAGCTGCCGCAATGCAGATTTACAAACACACACATACACAGCTTTATTCGAGTACATGCAAAATGCTGGACCTCAAAGAACACTTGAAATTTACTTACTTACATACTTCACGTCAGTGCGGGCCGCACACGTTGCGTATTCGTAATAAAATTGAATTAAGGCTGGGCCGAGCAGCCATTTTGTGGCACATTTTCGCCTTTGGCTTGTGTGCCGGTAAATAATGCGCCCAGTTTACTCAGAGAGTGCGAGTGAGTGTGCGTGTGTATGTGTGTATGTGTGTGCAAGTGTCTTTCATGCCAATAAATGAAATCATAAATTTAAGACCAGCTCTCGACACACACACACACACACACACACGCACACACTGAGAAGTGGCCTGCAGCGTTGTCAAGTTGTCTGTTGTTGTACTTTAGCAATTATTATTAGTTAAGTTTTGAGTTTGAGGCCAATTTATTATTGGCTTGATATGATTTGCATGCGAGCATGCAGAAGGACATTCAAAGTACAAATATTGACAGGCGTTTGTATAGCGGCAAGTGGCGTAATATTGTCATAATTTATGACTAACAAGTTTAAGTCCGCTGTGTGTGTGTGTGTAACTTAACTAAGCAAAGCTTATTTGCTTTCGTTCCAAAGCTTTAACAACTGGTTTGTCATTTAGCCCACTTCTTAAGACTACAAACCAAATGTCCGGCCACAAATTGATCATCTCTGCTAATCAAAACCAAATATAACTTTCACTTGAACCCTTAAGCAGCAGCAGATTAATTAGTTCAGAAATAATCTCTAAGTGTGGTAAAATTCTCCCTGAAGCATGAGCAGAAAATGTTTGAAATTTTGTGATATAATTCAAATCGTTGAATACACATAATCAGAAATGAAAGCCTTACGCATTGCCAAGAATTATTATAATAGTTTTCAATATTCAATGTGTAATCACTTTTACACGCTTGATTATAAAACATAACAAATAAAAAATTGAAAACATTACAAAAATATGCCATTTGCATTTACTGCTCATCCAATTTTATGATAAGCATAATTTGCATATTTAAAGTTATTAAATTTAATACAGAACTCACATGTTGCCTGGCAGCTTTTCAATTTACTGACTCTAAATGCAGTTGATTAACAAGTGCCACTTTACATGGTGCAACTCCAGCGGGAGCCAATTTTCGCAAATGCAACAACAACAAACCATTATGCGTAATTACATTTTTTTATATAACATATATAAATATAGATACGAAATTAATTAACAAATTGCATAATGATAAGCGAGGATGGCTTTAAAATGCATTGCAAAAGCTGCGCTGGAGTGGAAAAATTGAAGTGAAAATCAACACAAACACAACGACCAATGATTCATAGTCCCATTGTGCTCCAACGAGCTCGTCTCTGATTTCATGATTTCATAATGAAAGTCAACTTAGTCATTTGTCGTCATAACTTTGGTCATTAGATGGTCGCCGGGCAGGTCGGATGCCACCCCTTAGAAGATGGTACCCACTCCCCCGCTGCTCTTACTCCGGCTCCTGCTGCTGCTGCTGCTACTTCTGCTGGGACGTGCTGGGCGAACAAAGGCGACGCATTTGAGACACCAGACCAAAGTCGAGAGCTGTTGAGCCGGCTGTGCATACATTTTTCATAAAATTAGAAATATGAATAAACGCAAAAGCTAGCCTGAGTCTGAAAGATACACACAGATATATAAATATCTAAATATGTGTATACATATGTGAATATATATATGTGTATGTATGTACTTAGCAGCAGGCTGGCAAGTCACGTTTCTTAATATACGTGTATGTGTGTATGTGTTGCTGTGTTGGTCTGTGTCTCATATTGTGTGCTAAGCTTCACACATTTTTAATTTATATATTCATATGTATATGTTAAGCTTTTCTTGAATTTTTTGGCGCACTCTCAAACAGCAAGGCAAGAGACTCTTTGAACCCTTCTGATCAACTACAAGTCCAAGAACAACTCAAGGGCAATGAAGAACGATGCAGTCGAGCGATATATATCTATAGAAGCTGTAAAGAAAAACAATTTGGAAAATTAGATACACCCCATATATTGTCAAACAAAAAGTCACCTTCACGATCCGCGTTATTCCACCATTTTAAATAGCCTTGGTCATTATATTATGTGCATTCTTTTGTTACGCGGCCAAAACTCAATGTGATGAGACCCCGGAGAATTTCCTACTACATCAACGCCGGTCAGCAACAGCATCAACTGCTGTAGAGGGGACAACTCGAAGAATAGATGATCTAAATTGACACCACATCAATCATTTAGACACCTAAATCCCATCAAAAGTGTTGAGCCAAAGAGACGCAAGCGTTTCAAATCTTTAGCTGCACAAATAGAAGTGGACGCAGCAGTAACACCTCGTTTACGTCCAAATTTTGTGCGCCCTAATTCCGAGCAGAGCGCTGAATGACATCGACACATGAGTGCCACAAGTGCCACATTTCGAGAAACTGGCAACAACTGAAAATGCCTATTACGACGACTAGGGATTAAGCTCTGATTCTGATGACCAAGTTCAATTCGATAGAAATTTCTAACAAATGTTATACTAACTAGCAATTCTGTAATACATACAGACTACTTTTGCATAATAACAGAATTAGGATTTAAATTCAATTCTGGCATGTATAATAAAACTTACTTAAAATTTAAGCATTAGAAATAAAGATAATTATATGTAAAGCATTCAGAAGCCTTTTAAAAAAGCTAACAATTTACGCGAAATACAACGTTTTTTTCACATGAGTCTAATCTGAATCCTTTGAAATTAATTTGTTGTTGTTGAGAATACCTTAGTTCCAAGGCTTACAATTTCATTGGCCATTTTAATTGTTTGCGAGCACTTAAGCCGTCCATAAGTCGACCGGCAAAACAAAAAAATATATTAAGTATACAGCAAGTGGCAATACTAGAAACAGAATGAAACAGTTGGCAAAATGCAGTCCAAAGTAGGATGTGTGTGTGTGTGTTTGTTTATGTGTTTGTGCTGCCAGCCTAGACAATTTTAATGGTCATTGTGGTAAATGAAATGCGCTTAAGATTAAATGCGGCACATAAGCCGGAGACTATGTTAAACCCACAAAGCAA